TTTATCAATGGGGATTTACGGCGGAAAGTTTTCTTTTTTACAAATCAATTTCCTGCCATAATCACGGCCTCAATATATTCAATCCTGCGGAGTGATTGCTCGCATCATTCGCGCCGTCTCAACGGCCCGGGAAAAAAACCATCTTCCGCTTCGCTTTCACCTGCTACCCCGCAAGTAACACCACTTCTCTTCTGCTCGTTACTCAGCTGTACCTCTATCCGCATGCATTACGAGCAAAATCTCAACTTTGTGTTCTCCGCCGCCGTCGACATCGCCGAAGGAAATTTTCGATTGGATTCAGCCCGACACTCCATCTTGAGCGCATATAGAGAGGATTCCCAATTGTGTCCTTTCACTTCCTTCGAAAAAAAAAACCAGCTCTGAAATCAGCATGTTCAAGCAGCAAGCACACGTATCGTCAATGCTTTCGTCTTCAACCTTGACGTTGTGTCGACCAATTTACAGAACCAAACAAGTCCGAGTTTCAAAGGGGCAGCATACGTTTCTAGCATAGAGCATCTGTTCATTCTGTATACTCTGGATAAACTTACTTCCATGCACAAAGTCACATAGGACTCTCAGACAAGTTTGAAAGTTCGGAAGGGTGGTAAAGAGAATAGAGGACCTCCAGAAAAATTGTTAAACTAGATGGATGCCGACAAATGTCTCTTCTCTTTCAGGTTGGTTGTTTAGTCGTAGTTATTCCACATTCTACTCAAAAACACCGTCTACTAGACTAAGACTAACGGCTGTCTACCGAAGAAGGTTTTATATAATACGCTTTCGCCAATTTTGATGAAGGGATTATTCCATGTCAAACTCAAATGGACCTTAGGGATGAATTGTAACTGCATCTTCCGGGGTCATCCTCTAGGTAGAGCAACTTGTGAACCCTCATCTGTATCATCCTCTACAGCCGAGCTCGAGGCTTGTTTGAACAGAATTCGACTCGGTGCAAGTTCCCCGAAGCGATCCAAAACTTCACCCACTTCGAAACAAGCGTCTCATCTATCGGTGCCAACTCTCTCATTCTTTTGCTTAACTTGGTTGCGTTGCGAATCTCGGGAATAACAGACGGGGGAAGATTGTAGATGATTTTTGAAAGAAGTCGCTGGCAAGTCAAAATGAGTGTGTAGAGGATGATCTTGTCATTTGAGCTAAGCGACTCACGATAACATTACGACGGTCGCCGTGATGGTCGTTGACAGACCTTTCAAGCAACTCGATCCATTCTCCAACAGAGACCTGAAGAAGAAAAGGAAGGCAGAGACCTTGTCCAAGCTCCTGCAAAAGGGCCTCATGCACGGCACATGCAATATTGGCACTAGCGACTGGTCGAGGATGGATCAAATTCGCCGCAAAGGGAAGCCAATCTTTGTGGAATGCGATTTCCAGGACACTATCGGATGCGGCGTCCATAGGGATCCAATGGTGTTCCTTCAATTGAATATGTCAATAAACTCTCTCCCAAAATTCGCGTTTAACAGAAAAAAAAGTAAACAGACGTACCCCAGTTGGTACGAAAACGGCTCCAAGAGACCAACATGCTCTCACAGACAATGGGAACCATTCTGAAGATTTCCACGCTCCGTTGGGTTCTCCGCCACAAATCTGCCCGATACGCAAAGATATCGCTTCAAGCCCGCTCTTTGCTAAAATCTTCGATCATGTAAACGATAAAATACACCACGGATATAAATCTAGACGTACTCTTTCGGCAACGTATTTGCTCTCCCCATATCCTCCTCCCACAGCAGTTTTAGCATCCATTACCAAGTCCTCGGGGTAAGGGCCTTCACGTTCGTCCCAATTTTGACTCATGGTGATTGACGATGTGAATAGGAATCGGATATCGGCGCGTCGTCCACTCGAGCGAGCGAGATCTATGAATGTTCGTGTGCCCCGAATATGACTTTCAAATGAGGACAGCGGTGAGCTGAAATTGGAATGCCAGGCGTTGTGAATGATCGCAGTCAATTCTTGCTGCAACTAGAGGTGATGTTTTATGATACCATCTTTTGCACTGCTGTATGTATGATACTTACCTTGTTGATTACTGTCTCTGAGAGACCTAGGTTCGGGAGATGAATTTCGCCTTCCAGGAGGACAAGTTTCGGCGAAGATAGTAGAGAGACGTCAAGTGCCTTGTCTTCAAACTGAGCCTTGTGACGTTCCATGCTGTTTGTTGATTTCCTGTTGAGCGCGTATACGCATCGAACATGGTCCATACGAAGCAATGATGCAAGTATGCAACAGCCAAGGTTTCCGGTAGATCCAGTAAGTAGAATGGTCTCGTTTGCTACACTGCGTTTGGAGCTTCGTTTGGTAGGATGATTACTGTCATCCAGTCCTATGGAGTATTTCGCGATCATTGCTTCGATATTTGCCGCATGCTGTACAATGTCCTCCACGGGCAAAGGCTCGGAAGTCGGGTGGCCACAGAATTCAAAGCTGCGACTGAAGATGCTCATTCTGTTAGTTTCCTTGGTCGTGTCAACAGATATTTATATCTCTGCACTATGTGGTACAAGACACTGACAATTCCAGCGGAGGTCCATTTCCTAATACAGTCTTTTGCGAAGTGATTGTGGTACCAAAAATCAAATCAATCAGCAGATATTTTTTCAGAGCTATCGTTCTGCTACCTACTTGAAGTAGATGGGGGCATACAACCGAAGGAAGCAGTCCAAGCCCCGTTGGATGGCAATATCGCCAATTCCTCAGAAATCAAGTTAACCGTGACACCCGAGTTATCGTCGTGTGGAGAAAAGTGGAGAAACTGACAGAAAAGGAAAGGGAATAGCGGTGGATCTGCAGAAAGTCTATCTATCACCCTGATTTCAATACAATCAACGCACCCGAGGAAGACATACTGTTCCAATTCATTTAGAACCGAGCACCCTGAGAGTTAGTAACACGCAACTAGAAGACGTGAACCGTTTTTCGGTATTGGCTAAAGCGGGATGTTGGAGACAAAAGTGAGATTGAGACTGAGCCGGAATGAAGGAAGGAAGGACGTGTATTACAAGGCCGGTCCCTAGAGAGGGACACCGGTTCCAGGATGTACGCGAAGACAGCTGATCTCATGGTGCACAGAGCAGGGAATCACAACTATAGGTGATATCTCATCATACCATCCTTTGCGTGGCTGTGTGTATGATACTTTCCTCGTTGATTACTGGCTCCGAGAGACCTAGGCTCGGGAGAGAAATTCGCCTTCCAGGAGGACTTGTTTCGACGGAGATAATTCAGACCGAGTCTTGTGGCGTTCCATGCCATGCTGTTTCCCGTGCGTGTATACGCATCGAACATGGTCCATCCGAAGCAATAATGCAAGTACATATGCACTTGAAAGCTTCTGGAACAACAGTGAGTCCTTTTCCTGATATGTAAGCGCCGTGAAGGTTGAATCGCGGTACTCCACGCTTGATGATCACTGATCCCTGTGGGGGGAGTATGGCTGGATTTGAAATGATCGTCTTTTTCGCCTTACTAGCCTGAGTGTCACACGAGGGTGCCCTCTTGCGCTGTTCGATGCCTAATTTCATTCAATACTTTGCCAATAGTTAAATCCAATGACAGATCCGGAAAACCAGAAAGATTCATGAAAGAGAAACACGCTAGCACAAGTTTTCATCTTCTGTTATTCTAGCTCCAAACATCCGGCATTCACTCAAACCGAGGCCCGCTGTCTTTCAAGTAGATCGCATAATCTGATTCACCAGATACTAAAGATAAGCTTGCCACTAGAGTAGTACTTTTTACATGCCAAGAAAACCTTCTTCCGATACTGCATCAACATTACCGCTCTTAATTTTTTTTCTTTTGCCATATGTCCGAGCACAATCTAGGCTAACCATTAAATTGTTATGTATCTCCTTCTTAGCTCAGTTGGTAGAGCGCGTCACTAGTACTGCGTACAAGAATGACGAGGTCAGTCGTTCAAGTCGGCTAGAAGGAATCAAATATATATTTTTTTTGTTTTTGCACCAGCCATGCTGTAAGTAGAGGTTCATCCCCAAGAAAGTGGATACTGCCTTCAAGTTTGTTATGATTACATATGCAGTCCACACAGATTGTCTGCGCACAGTACTAATTCCTTCTCTACTCCACTAACGTCTTCTCACCCGGTCTACTATGTATTACCTGAAGTTCCACCGACCTGCAGTCGGCTCCGGTATATCTTCTGCAGCTTTTCAAAGAGGTAATCTGCAAGAGCATGTTATGATCAGATCTATATCCAAACCGATGAATGTTTAATGTTATGAGAGCACTTACTAGCTAAAGGGGAATGGTACACCCTCGACAACTGAGCGCTTTCGAATATACAATCAAGTTTATCCAAAAGCTCTGCTTCCCTTTCACTAGTCCTAACCCTATCCGAATCTGACTCTTCAGGATCTAGCAAACGGTCCCCGTTATTTAGATTTCGCACTAGGTCGATCTCCTCAATTAAAACTCGACCCACGGCAAGCCAGAGGCATCCAAGGAACGGATTGGGATCGGGATCGGGATTGGCAGATAGCGAACGTCCAGATTCCCGCCACTTACCAGCGTTAAGTGACCACCGATTTCTACATAGCTCCGCTATAGTCTCCACAGCTTCCAATCGTTTCTGTCCGCTGTCGCTCGGAACCGAATATGTCAGTGAGTCCGATGTCGGTGTCATCGTGGCCATTTTGTTATGAAGGACTACCGTCGCAAGATGGGCTATCATATGTGCACTGAAATGCATCGACTTGCGGCTATCGTTTGGACCTAAGCACGAACTCAGATTACTGGAGTTGATATGTAGGCGGGTTGCTTTAAAGTGATCTATGAGACGATCGAGATCCAGGAAACTTGTGGTAAATTTGGCTGCAACTGATGATGACATATCTGTTGTTCACGGTGAATCAGAACTCGTACAGCACTCGATGCATTTTTGTACACATACTGGGCTGATATGCTAAAGCGACAGTAGCTGCTCGCGATAGGAGAATTGAAGCCTGCGCACACATCTCGAGTGCTGAACATTCTCTGTCCCCAGTATCCCTAGGCGTACAGCTCGGCCGTTGTTGGCTTTGCAGAAATTTGGCAACAGTTCCACTGTCGGAGTGCTCCGAATTTGAATTCTGGAAAAATGAGAAACGCGTTAATATCAGCGTGAGGTAAAAGGTAGAGAGGTATGATTGTATTGCAAAGCCTCATGTTACACCTTACCTGTTCATACTCTTCAATATCCATAGGCCATGGAGTATCGATGTTTTCTATGTACCGTTCGAGTACGAAATTTGGACTCGAATCTGCGGCAAGTGCCCAGCAATTACTCATCGTAACCACCGTCCAAAAAGCATTAATCCTCTCGCCTTCTGATATCGAATCAGGAGGGGAAGAAAGTAATGCTTCTGAGCCAACATTGAGATGAAAAGCAGATTGACAGGGAGACGAGGGAGTATTGACTACCCACGGAAGAGCTGCGGACGTCAACATATCTCTGTCCCTGTTTGAGCTACGGATTTTATGAAGCTTGGCGCCGAAAGCAATAGACGTGGCTGCACTCAGATGATACTTTCCTTCTAGGATACGACCTTGGCGGAGTAGATAGGTGGAAAGAAGAAGCTCGGCTTGGATACCGTGGGCTATACGGTCAGGATGTGAAGACGAGAGGATTCCTGCTATGTCAATTTGGGCTTGAGAAAGGTAATGTGCTTCTTGAGGGCTGGTAGTAGCACCAGATACTCCATCATCCGAGACGTAGAGAGGATTACTATGAGGGTTGGACTCGGGAGTGTATCCTTCTGTGAGGCTAGATCCCAGAAGGAGAACAGCACTAATGAGACCTTGGCATGGTCGACCAGGCGAGTCAACGGGAAGCATTACAGCATATCGGAAACGTGGGATGTGAAGAAAGAATCCGAGTTCAGTCGCATGACGAAAGAATACTTCAAGTCTAGATAGATGAATGATACTCACATGAAAAAAGTTCAATTACATTCGAAAAAGTACTCACAATCGAGGACTAGGTAGATTAACGTCTTGCAGCGGAGGCCCAAGGACGTTCTGTGGTACGAGTTTGAGTTCAGTTAGATATACGTATGAACAGTAATAGAGCAACATACCTCTGGATAACAACGCTCCACTTGATACGGGCTATGCAACCTCACCGCGGACGCATCGGATGACGTTTCCAGTTCCCGTATGCGGGCTTCTAGAGTCTTGATATTATCTTTGAGGTCCTGCTCCTCCGTTCTTCGCAACTTAGGGTCAGAGTATTCACAAACTTTATTCTCCGTAAGTTCTAACGTCGGAAGTCGAAGGCACTGAGAACAAGTGGGTTTGACGCCGTCACATTTCTGCATACTTCTCGTGAGATATCGTTGGGAAGAAAATACATCCACAGCAAATCAATCGTACCACTTTTCGTCGCCTGCAACTTCCACACGCTCTTGCTCTTGCACTAGTACTGTATGGACCGCGTTCGGATCGTGGAGGAGGAGGAGTGTTCGACGTGCTTCGCTGAGAATGTAGTTTCATCTGAAGCAAAAGGCGCGCAAGAATATGTTGGTTAAAATCATTGCCGCACATTCTTGATATGTCGTCGGTTACGATGAAAAGCGCATTGCTAATCGACGCCGTTCCTCCCCGTCAGCTGTGTCAAGGCCTTCTAAGACGATAGAATGTGAATAGAGCCGGATCACACTGGTCGGCGCTGATAAATTGATTTACCAGCGTTTAATTACCATGAACGCCTTTGTATCCCGAGTTAATCTCTTGAACAACTCTTCAAAAATTATGGACATGTACAGCTTTCCAATTCTCGAACGCAGCATGCTGTCTGCACAGGGACTTCAGTATTGCCTTGCCTTCGCCGTACCATTGTTCTAAAGCGACTGAGCCTACGAAATGGAAATTGAGAAGTCAAACGATGAGGAAGGAACAAATCCTGACACCGCAAGTCACGCTCGCCTGTCACGCAGCAAGTGGCTTTTATTGAGTTGTGTTTGACCACATTTAGAAATCACAATCACGTCTCTCTTCATGGGGATGAGCAAGCTTGAGCACCAGTGCCCTACACAAATTCACAATCGCAGTCTTCGCTGAAGCGCCATAGCGATTGAGCGCAATCATCCGCTATACTCACCTCATGCCAGTTCCAGCAAGTTTGTGCATGGTCAGGGTATAAATTACTCAAATTTCCTGTTCATATCTTCCAAAGTTCTAGAGCAGAGATCATGCAGCTTTCACTATAAACCACTTGACGACGTAGACCCTTGTAAGCCATATTAGCTCATGTTACATAGCAGTCCGTCGGATACGGTTATACATCCGAAGCTCGAGCATATATATCCGCCCTAACAAAGTTGGTCGCCCTGACCAACAAACCAACAGCTATGTTCACCGACCTTCCTCCAGGAATACGATTCCTCATCAAACGACTTCCTTATCTTGTCCTGCCCCCTACATCGGTTTTCGCAGCACTATCGGTATATCACTCCTTCATTTCTACTAACGTATCTTCTGGATGGCGTATAACACTCTTGTATATACTCTCTTATCCGCTGGCCTTGACTGTTCGTCTTGGCTACCAAGCAATCATCAAGCGCGTACTCGCAGCTCGTATGGGTGCAGTCTTGCTACCTGAACCACCCTTCATGGACGACCCTACACCTGGTGGACTCCTATTTCTCTATGGTATAATTCAAGAATCCAAAGAAGGTTATATCGGTGTGTGCTATGCTTACATCGGTAGGCAAACTCTCAACCATCCTTATAGGTGATGCATTGAAAAAACGACTTCATTCAACTGGACCTACATTTAATATGAGAATCTTTTTTGAGGATAGGGTAGGTGTTAGCCATTCTTCGAGGTTTTCTTATGTTCAACTATGTATCTTTCCAAGCTCGTCACGTCAGAACCCAGTCATATAAAGGTCACTCGTGAACCAGCCCCTTTCACCTTCCAGAAAACGAATAACTTCTATTGCAGGCTTTTCTGGCTACTCAATTCGAAGATTTCGTAAAGGGTGTGTATATGATAACGGCTCCTTCGCTCGTGCTAAGATATGGCGCCCAGGTCAGGATACTCTCACAACACTGCAACCTCTCTTGGGAACGGGTGTATTTGCCAACGACGGTACGCATATATTTCTTACACTTCATTCTTAGCATGGTTTGACTTTCATTCTAGGAGATCTTTGGAAGTGGGTCCTTGTGCGCTTTCACAACGCTCGTGATTCACATTTACTCCCAGATTCCATCGCAGCATTACGCGCCCATTTTTTAGCCGAGACCGAATAACCCACTTTGATATCTTCGATAGACATGCGGACGAAGCGATTCGTAAAATGAAGGCCCGTTTCAAGGAAGGATACGCTGCTGACTTCCAGGTAAATTGTCTCAAGTCTCAATGAATTCTAAGTACAACCACTTATGACATATTTCCAGGACGTCGTCTCCCGGTTCACACTCGATTCTGCAACAGAGTTTCTGTTCGGACATGACATTGGCACACTATCTGATCCTCTTCCGTACCCATTCTTCCACCCTTCGCACTTGGCCTCTGATGACGCGTCTCAGTTTGCGCAGACATTCAGCGCCCGGTTCTCTCGTTCATTCAACGAAGCTCAAACAGCCACGTCTGTCCGTATTCGCTTTGGCGACATGTGGCCATTGAGAGAGATGGTGAAAGACATACCGAAGGAGAAGATGAAGGTTGTGCACGCGTTCTTGGATCCTGTCATCCAGCAAGGTATTCAAAGATCAAAGTTGGCTCAAGAGAAAGCTGCGGACACGGTGGAAGAAGAAAGCGAGACAGTTTTAGACCATTTGATTAAGCACACCAAGGGTGCGTATCTTCTAATTATTCATTATCTTCTACGTATGCTCACGTTCAATTCGACAGATCCGATCATCTTGCGCGATGAAATCATGAACCTTGCAGTAGCCGGTCGAGACACGGTGCATTTTTTCTCCACTTGA